ACAGTAGTCAGGAAGGAGGGGGTTCCCGGCACACCAAGGGATGGCCTGAGGAAGGTTGAAAAAAGGTGCCTCTGAGGCCCAGCCTGGCGATTTGAGGTAGGTCCTTCACAGCATGCCAGGGTTCTGAGGACACCCAGGGAAAGCAGAAGGCACCCAGACTCCCCTGCTTTAGAAAGGGGCTCAGAGAACTCACAGTGGGGGGCGGGGAGCGGGGGCTCATTTGCTAGGGAGAAACTGTGAATTTGCAGACAAAGCACAACTGCTATTCCCCATCCCCACCCCGGGCTGACCCCATGCTTAGTCATCACTCACTTTTCTTCTGCCCCACAAAGGACACAGCACCCAGGATTTTCCGGAAACCAACGCCCGGGTAGTTGGAGGGATTGAGGCCCGAAAGAATTCCTGGCCCTCTCAGGTGGGTGTTTCTTCACAGCCCCAGACTTCCAATAAAATAAGAATTGCCTGGGCACTGCCACACAGTATTACAGGTGTTTGTGTATATCCTTATCAACAGGAAACTCTCCAACTGCCTGTATTCTAGATTTTAAAGATGAATGGGACCAGGCTTAGGTGTTTTACTAAGTACAAAAGGCTTGAAGGAGCAAATTTAAATACCAACCACACTCACTCTCCCAGGCACACACCTAAACACAAATCACATTTACACTCCCAGCAACACCATTTGTGCCACATTCACAAGACTGTGTGCCAGACCCACACTTCAGACTCCATATACCTTCACACACACACACACACACACACACACACACACACACATATACCTTCACACAGTATGTGTCACACTTTGAAGTGCACTCCTGCCCCCAAGTAGAGTATGTTGTTTATTTGGCTATTTAAAGAGTTTCCACTTTCATAACAGGACAGCTAGGCTCTGATTTAAGCAATTCAAATGTAAAAATTGGCAAGTTGAGAAGAATAATTACAATTAGAATTAAATCAGTTTACAAAAGTTTGAGCCCTGTCTGGCTGGTTTGGCTCAGTGGATAGAGCATTG